AAAGAATATTTCTTGAAGATTTTGAATTAGTTAGGAAGTTTCAAGTTTAACAGTTAATGGTAATCCAACTACGGTAAGTTACCATAATTTGTGGAATCTACGATATTGATTGTGGTTAATCTATGACTTGTAGGTAAAGCAATTTCTTTATTTTAGTAGGAAGATATTTATAGAAAACCGTATTTGCAATATTTTCTTAACAAAACGTATCTCGTCCATTAAATGTCAACATGAGAGTTATGCTATATCTTTTTGGTTGATATTACTATATGTCGTCTAACTATGGTATATAAATACAAGTAAATTTAGTGAGACATGAAAACATATTTCATATATGAATAAAAACATGAAATGAAGGTCTATACCACAATATAAACGAAATAAAAGTTTATAAAGTCCATGTATGATACATATACCAAAAAATGTCAACCAAAAAAGTATAATGTTGGAAATCTATAGATTGAAATCGTGTAATATAAGGTCTATAACACAATATAAATGTATGAAATATAGTATGGTTTATAAATACGGGTAAATTTAGTGAGACATGAAGACATATTTCATATATAAAGATAGATCATGAAATGAAGGTTTATAACACAATATAAATGAAATGAAAATTTATATAGTCCATGTATGATGCATATACCAAAAAATGTCAACTAAAAAAGTAGTGTTGGAAATATATAGATTGAAATCATGTAATATAAGGTCTATAACACAATATAATTGTATGAAATATAGTATGGTATATAAATACGGGTAAATTTAGTGAGACATGAAAACATATTTCATATATGAAGATAAATCATGAAATGAAGGTTTATAACACAATATAAATGAAATGAAGGTTTACAAAGTCCATGTATGATGCATATACAAAAAAATGTCAACAAAAAAGTATAATGTTGGAAATATATAGATTGAAATCGTGTAATATAAAGTGTATACCACAATATAAATGTATGAAATATAGTTTGGAATATGGTTATAAAGTCTATGTATGATTTATATACCAAAAAAGTCAACTATAAAAGTATAATGCTGAAAATCTATAGATTGAAATCATATAATATAAGGTGTATAATACAATATAAATGTATAAAATATAGTATGGAATGTGGTTATAAAGTCCATATATGATGCATATACCAAATCGTGTAATATAATGTCGGAAATCAATAAATGTATGAACTATAGTATGAAATATGGTTAGAGTAATTAATGGGAAGAGAGAGAATAATTGATGTGAAAAGAGAGAATAATTAATGGTTAGAGTAATTAATGGAAAGAGAAAGAATATTCGGATATATGCAATATGTGATATGATTTGTAACAAATCGATATATATATATATATATATATATATATATATGTAAGGCAGAAAATAAATTAACAAAATAAATTACCAAAATGCCATTAATGAGGGTGCACACAACTTCCATCAGTCGATTTTTCAAGGATGTCTTTACTTTTAATAGTATAGACTAGGATAAGACCTGCGCTTTGCGCAGGGTGAATATACCTAATTAAAATATAAAATTTTAGTATTGATAAATTTAAAATTTACATATAATTGTTTTCCTATGTATTTGAAATTTTAGAATTTTGGAATTTTAAAATAATTATCTATACGTAGGATCAGAAACAATTGTATTTAAAACTGTAGATCAAATCTTAAAATTTAATGGACCTGATTTCATATATCTTTTCACTTTTAGTGTTCGAGTGATGGAAAAATAAACAGAGTGTCATTGGGCTTGATTGATAGACTATTAGCAAATTCTAATGTTTTTTTAAGAAGCAGTTTGTAAAATAATTACATTTAAAATATATAAAGTTTCAAAACTAATTTAATATAATTTATTTATTTGTATAATAATATTAAAAAACTATATTTCTTACAAATTATTATTTTTAAATAATTTTATAAAAAATTAACTTAAATTTCAAATTATTTTTAAAAACAATATTTTAAGTTTTTCAAATACAAATAAAGAATTTAAAATTAATTATGGTCATGATTTAACATAACCATAATGATTTAAAAAATTAAAAAAATTAAAAAGAATTAACAAATTAAAAATTAAATCAGTTTTATATCATGATTTAAAAATTAATTATGGTTATGAGAAGTTTACGTTCACGTGTTAATCCTATTTATCTTCAATATTTTCTCTTGTTGTGTTTTTTCATATTTTGGTTATTACTCGATATAAATATTTATTTTGAAGTTTATTCTCATTTCTTTTCTTTTTTTTTGACCTTGGATTTAGAAAATACTTAAGATTTAAAATAATTAAAAAGATACATACTTAGGTTAAGATCTACACTTTATGCACAATAAGTATTTTATATTTATAATTTATTTTATAATTTTCTGGATATCATAAAATAATAAAATAATAAATATATATATTACATAACTAAGAAATCAGCCACTATTATGTAATAAATTGACGTATGCATATAAATTTAACTATCTCTCTTGTTTATTCGCAATTAGCATAAATAAATCAAAATAATCAATCTTATATATTTTATATGATATATAATTAAATTTAAATGATATAAACATAGTAATATGTCACACTTTTAATATTGATATTTATTAAATGAGGTTTCTACTCATATGATTTTATGATTATTTGCATATTTGTGTAACAAAACTTTACACCAACGATTTTTTTAATGTGAGATGTTTAGTAGTTTCAATAATTTATAATCATTTAAAAAAAAACAATGACGTATTTCAAAATTAAAATATTAACTTTTCAATATATGTTGAAGAAAAATATCAAAATATAAGTATGTATTTTCATACGATTTATAGTTTAATTAAAACGATATGAAATATATATATAAACTAAAATTATTTCTTCATATGGTCTTATAATCATTATTTCAATATAGAAAACAAATTAAAACCTTGATCCTAAAAGTTTATGTGAGACTTTTAACAGTTTTAGTAATTTATACTCATTTTGAAAAATTCGAAATACAACATACACAAAAAAATATCTAGATTTTTATTATATGGTTAATGTAATTGTGTAATTTATTTTAATAATAAATAAATAAACAAAATGAGAAAAAATATACAGATTGTTATCAAATATTTATTGTTTAAAATCATTAATTATCATATATATTTTAATCACATTAGGTAATTCCGTAGGTTTTATTTAAGGAAAGCATGCGAAACAATAAATATTTGATATATGTGACCAACTATAGTCTACGAAATATTATATTGCTAGAGAATATAATTTTTAGACTATATATTATATCACATGCTCTAGAATCCTTGGAATTTGAAATAGAAGCCAAATAGCTATGCCACATAGGATTAGAGTTATTTTTAATTCTAACAAACTTAAGGTTACAACTTTTTAAACGATTCTCAAATAATATATAAGGGATTCTCAAATCAGTTTACAAATTCCAATTCAAAATAGCACTTCATACCAAAAGTGGTTGAAATTCTTTAGAGCTCAAGAAAACCAGTCCTCTTCTATTACCAAGGCTACAAACACTTAATATACTGGAAATTGCTAAGAAAGGATAACATACTAATACTATTGTCTTCTTAAAACTTAATTCAAAATCTTTGTCCCTGTAGTATAAACAATTAAGAATACCCATTTTTATCATTTTCTTGTACATTTTCTTATTAATTTAATTTAAAAGAAAAAGTAAACACATCAGAAAAAAAAATAAGTAAAAAAAACAATACCACAAAATAAGTTAAAAAAAACTAATCCCTCGCCTAACAAAAAAAAAAGAAAAGAAGTTAAAAACATTAAACCATAGCTAAAAAAAAACCTCAACTCCTGACTTTTTGTCTCAATCGAAGAAAAAGAGGCGATTTGCTTTTCGCCAAAACCCCCTTTCGGTTTCTTTCACCGGAGAGCTCGGAACAGTCATCACATCTCTCTGTCGTCCTCCTTTTGTCTTTACTTTCGGTCGATTTTACTCGTCTCATAACTTCCCGGCATCGTTACCAGAGTTTTCTAACCTCCGAAGTAGGTTCTTCTCTCGGAAAAGCATGATTAGCTTCACATTGTTCATCTTTTGCTCTTCCTTCATCTCGGTTCCCAAAATTCGAAAGTTAGGGTTTTGAAATCCCCTTTATGGATCTTGTTTATTTTCTTTTTTGTTTATGTGCATGTCGGAGAAATAGATTGAATTACTTAAAAAACTTTGGTTGTTTTGAAATCCCCTATATGTGAATTTTGTTTCTCTGTTCCTAAAACTTTGGTTGTTGAGATGATTTTGAGTTATATATTTTTTTGATATTGTATTTGTATTATGTTTTGAATTCATAATAGACTTGAAAATGCTAATGAGTTGGACATGTAAAAAAGATCGATTTTACATGTTGTTTGGGATCGAACCGTAAACAAAACTTTGGTTGTTGAGTAGATTTTGAGTTATATTTTGTTTGGTATCGGTTGTGTATTATATTTTGAATTCGTAATAGACTTGAAAATGCTGAGTTCGATATTTTTAGTATACTTTTATGATTCCTTTGTTTGCAATTGCATATTTAAAGTCGATCATTTTAGGTATTAGGAGACACTCATTTAGTTATGTAAAGGCTAACGAGTTGAAGTTTTTAATTTCCTATTTTGTAGGAATGGATTACCAGTTTCCAAAGCGCATTCTTGATGAAGGAGGTGAGATCTGAATTGATAAGATCAACAACACATGTAGACATACGATGCTAGCATTGTTGAAGGATTTTCTTAAGGATGAGTATGAGGAAGTTTTGAAAGACCCTGTCTTCGGTCCGATTCTGGAAATTGTAGTCAACAAGCTCATTTACTCTGGGAATATTATTCAAAGATTTATATACAAGCAGTTCAAGGTTTCCAAGCTTCACAAGTTGTGGTTTGAATTTGCAAATAGGCCTCTTAGGTTCTCCATGCAAGAATTTCATGCTATCATTGGATTGAAGTTCAAAGAAGAACCAGACATAAACTTCAATTATTGGAACGATGATAAGGTTTCTGGAGCAAAGCGTTGAGGCAAAATTCAAATATCAGCTTATACATCATAAGGGATGAGCTCCTTAAAGTGTGTAACAAGTGGACATATGTGGACAGTGTGAGGTTAGTGTATCTGTGAATTATACATGGATTCATCGTGGCTAAGGATCCGAAAGTGTATATCCCTCAAGAATACATCCGTTTGGTGATGGATTTTGAGAAAATGAGAATGTATCCTTGGGGTCTTCGCACCTATGACGAGCTGATTTCATCCATATTAAAGGCAAGGAAGGATGTGTATCTGAAGAACAGTTACGTTTTAGATGGATTCTCATATACGTTTCAGATATGGATTATGTAGGCAATCCCAGACATTGGTACTATGGTGGCTAAAAAGATAAATTAACATTGTGAAATTGAGGTGTAGAAATTGGAGAGGAACTGGAAAAGTATCTTATCAAGATATCATCAGCCTAGAATCCCACTTTGAAAAGGTAAATATGTTGCTTTTGTTAATATTGAGTTCAAAATTTGTCTCCGTGAAGCTTATTGTTTCGTTTTTAACGCCAGGGAGAGGTGTTCCCATTTCTATCATCTACTAAGAACTCGGCTGTGATTGATGATCCTGAGATCAAAAGGGAATATGAAAAGAAGGATGAAAGAGATGATCGGATTGTTGCTATGATTAAAGCCAATCATCACTGGAAGCATTTCGTTTGGGAAGTCGAGCCTTTGCCAAGAAGTACGGTCCTTTTTGATTCAGAAGATGATGTAGAAGACGAAGATGTCAGGGAACCGCCTGTTGTTGCAGAGAAACCGAGAGTTGAAGCCAACAAGGGGAAGCGTAAGCTAAATGATCCTGGTGCCGAGTCTCGAAAGAAACAACTACTTTGTCAACGGGAATTTGAACATAATACTGGTGTCTCTGGTGAAATGAAGTCCATTATTGAGGGTATGTTCACCTCTTTCAAGGAGATGGCGCAGAAGGACCTCCAAGAGCATTTTGACAAGGTCGACACTGAGGTGGCTCATATCAAAGAAAAAGTGTCTCAGATTACGGGTTCTTCAGATTCAGTGGGGAAAAGCAAAGCAGCTGAGATTCCGACTCCTTCAGAACCACTTTCGAAAGATCAAGAAACATCATCACAGAGTTCGGGTCCTTCAGCAACACTTGGGGAAGATCAAGCCAAATCATCTCAGAGTACACGTCCTTCAGCAGGAAAAGGAAAAGGCAATGCAGCTGAGAGTGCGGATCCTCATCCGCTTCGTCGTAGTCCTCAGACAGTAAGAAAGGTAATCAAAACTTGAAGCTTTGTAAGATTATTTGTTGGTTGACTATTTCAAGTATTTTGTAAGCTATGTTGGACGAAATATCTCTTGATGTAAGTTTTTGTGTCGTTTGTAATGTCCTTGTATTGTGCAATATCGGCTTGTAATGTAATTTAGTAATGTACTTTGCTCTATATTATAAGAATGTTGTCTCTTTTTGCTATTAATGTTATGGTTGGTTTTATTAACAGGATGACAGTGAAATGTTGGAGTTTTTGAAGAATCTTACAAAATCCCAAGAACATGTAGATAAGGGGATCCAAGAGTCTTTACAAAACGCCATGGGAAACCTTTCTCAAGCATCACATGTTAAGGGTTCCGATCCATCACAAAGTCTCAATAACGACGAACCACCAGAATGAGTTACTCCATTATCTACATTTAAGCCCGCAGACTGGATACCACCTACTCTCAAAGATATGGAACTCCATGAGGACCAGGTGAATGACACCGATTACTCACTAGTGTTTGTCACTGAAGATTCATGGGCTAAACTGATGGAGTGGTCCTCAACTTCCAGGTTAGTTTATATTGTTTTTAAGTGTTTTATAATTCTATCCTTGTGTAACTGATGTTTGCATTTCAGACCACTGAAACTTGGACCTACTATGTTCACAAGTGAGTTATCAACATGTGTCATAAGACCAACAAAGTGGCTGTTGAATAAAGTGAGTGTTGAATTTGTTGGTTCTTATTTTCAATCTGCTTTCAACATTTTTCTTTTTTTTTCAAGAAATTGATGCTGTGATGTATGTATTCACTGAGAGAACTTCTTTACGACGATGGCTTCCAAAAAGAGTCACATTTATGACAATGCTTGTTTAGTAATCAAATGAAGAACTCTTATCAAGAGTTTGGGAAAGACGTAAGGAAATTCAAAGTCACAAAAATTCTACACCAGTACGGCATTGTTGAGCTTCCAGCACACGGGTGGACACGATTAATGTGAGAACTTGATGTCGACCGCATGTATGTGCCTGTCAATGTTGGTAAACACTGGATCTCTTTGTGAGTCGACTTTGTCACTCGTTCGACAGAGGTGTTTGACTGTGAGGGAATGAAACATCCAAAAGTAGTGGAGCCATTTGCCGTTCTCATCCCTAGAATTGTCAAAGCAGTTTAGTCTTCAAACAGTCGGCTACACACTGTTAAGAAGTATATTGTCACTTACGCTCCAATGCCCGTAGTACTAAACAGTAGTGGCTGTGATTATGGACTATATGCCTTGAAGCACATAAAATGCCATCTTCTAAGCTTGGAATTCTCATTGGTAAATGATAACAACATTCGTGAGGCATGGTTAAAGATTGCTTATGACCTTTGGGAAGCTTCTAATGATCATGTGCTTATTTCGAGAATGGCACAATTCACAACTCCAAAGACTATATCAAGTCCTCTAGTGGAACTTGATTGAGGATCTTGAAATGATAACTTGTTTAGGAAGTATGTTGTTAATTGCTCTCTATTTTTGTTAGTAGCTTATTTATGTAAGAGAAATTAACTCTGTAGTTACTCTTTTTTACTTTTTTAGTTAGTAACTTGTTTGAAACTTAAGAAAAAATAACTCTTTAGTTCACAACCCTATCTATACCCTAAACCATAAATGATAGTAAAGTAAGACATAAAGTAACCCCTATCTGTACCCTAAACATAATTGTAAATTTAAATCAAAACAAATGTTTAAATTTTTATTATCATTAAAATATGGGCTTATTAAATGTTTATCTATAATTATTCATTTTTTCTAAATCAAAACAAAAAAAAAATTTATAATTATACCAAATTAAATAGAACAGATATACCCTAAATGATAGTAAAATAAGACATAAACTAACCTTTATCTATACCCCTAAAAACCTAATCCGATTAGAAGCAGTGTTTGCCCTAAAAAAGCTTATATAACCCCTTAACATGGCCAAAAACCCTATATATTTCATTGGTTTCTTCTTCAGTTTTTCTAAAAAATCTCTCCTTCAACACAACAGAATGACAAACATGTATATCAGTGAAGGGATCCTTTCTAGATGATGGTGTGGGAAAGGGATTGTCACTTATGTTTCCAAAACAGAGGAGAACCCATATAGAAGATTCTTCAGATGTCAAATTGTTTTCATTTTAAAAATACAAAACTTGCATCAACGAGAAGAACAAAACACATTCTTTAGAGATAAACAAAGGAACTACTCTTTCAAACATAACTTGCATAAACCGGAATCCATGAGCATAACACATAGTCTTCAAAACATAACTTGCATAAACAAGATAAAAATAGTAGTCTTTCAAACATAAGTTGCATAAAACGAGATGAACAAAACACATAGTCTTTGAAACATAAATTGCATCATACGCTTTGACACGCCTATATTGGTGTATCACATCTTCTTCGATCGTGTCCTTGAAGCCCACATTGACTATATTTCCGAACTTTAGAGCCTTGCGTTCTCAGTGACAAACAGATCTTATCTTCAGCTGTCTCGTATCTGCGTTTATTTTTCCTACCTACAGCTCGTCTACTCTCTGGAGGAAGGAAATTTGCCTGTTCAACATCAGACGGAACAATCCATGCATCTTCAGGGACAAAAATATGATTTATTCTTTCTTCATTAGCCGAGTACCATGACGCAGTAGTGTACATGTCGTCAATGAGAGTGTGTGGTCTTCTTCCAACACTGAAGCCTGCTTTTATGGCGTGTCTGCATGGGATTTTCATTAGATCAAAATTCCCACAAGAACATGTGCGTCTGACCAAGTCAACCATGCAGTCAATACTATCACCTCAAACCAAAAACCTGTCATCGCTAACTGGGAAGACCTTAAACGTTTTACCTTTCTCAATCCTTCTGTCAATCTTCTTCTCCACAGCAATGGTCAGTGGCTTCGAGTGCTTATAACTTAGAGTTCTATGATTGAAAAACCACCGAATCATCATTTCCCTAAAGCTGTCCAATAAAGATATTATTGGAAAGTCTCTAGACGTTTTCAAAGCAGAATTTATTGAATTCACTGGGTTAATAGTCCTAATATCATACCTGTAACCCGAAAATTGACAACGAGCCCACTTCCTCACATCGGCTAGTATGAGATAATTTCCAATGTCAGGACTAATAGACTAACCAGCAGTGAATAGTTTACAAAAATCAGCAGCTCGATAAGCTTTAGAAGCCTTTGCAACCAAACCAGCCACACCTTTCCTACCGCTATTTGTTACAACATTATTCAGAAATTGATGAATGAAAATTCCATGATGAGTTTGCGGGTATACTGTCGCAATAGCTTTAGTAATTGAGGTACACCTATCAGACACAAAAGATAATCTATGGTCATCAGCAATGACCAAATTAAGTTGTCTCATAAACCAATCCCAAGCGAGGTCATTCTCTGAGTCAACAACTTTGAATGCAATAGGATATAAATTCGAGTTTCCATCTAATGCAGTAGCAACCAGTAATACTCCTTTGTATTTGCTCTTCAAAAACGTCACATCCACGACAATGACTTTCCGAATTGCATAATAGAAACCGCGAAGACTCTGACCAAACGAGATGAATAGGAGTCTGAATCTCCCTTTGGAATCCGTTTTGTAAGACGTGTGTGACCCTGGATTAGCTTCCTTCATCATCTGAAAGTATTTGAGAATTTTTTCATAACCTTTCTTTGGAATACCTTTCACTGCGTTGATTGCATATTCCCGTTCATCCCATACCAAAGAATACGATATCTCAACTCCATCACCAGTACACATATAGTCGATTATATCATTGGATCTCGGCCCTTCTTTAGCAGTTTCAAACTTATGCATAATCAGAGTACTAAAATTTTTGGCTGAAGCTGAACGAACAGAACCGTTCCTCCTTTATGGAGCACATGAATGATCAGGTACATACTTTTTGTTGATGAAATACGATGAACCTGTTAAACCCTCTACTCGAACGCACCAGCTGCAACCATCATCTGAGCAACAAATGTACAACACTTTTTTATCCGACTTGACAACCTTATACTCGAAATTATGTTTCTTGGCACATATTTCGAATGCTGCCTTCAAAAGCGTGTTGGAACGAAAATGCTGTCCTTTCTTCGTGACATCCACCAAAGAAAAGTGAACACCATTTCCATTGCTCTTCTCTATGTCCCACTTTTTTTCCTCATTACTGTCATTTACTTCATCTTCTTCGAAATCCATATCATCTGAATCGTCAATATCCATAGGATCTTCGTCTCTGTTAAAGTCAGCCGCTTCTTCATTCAAGTCAAAATCGCCTCTGCTATTGGTTTTCTCCAGCTTAGATTGAATACTCACACACAATTGCGTCAAAGGTTTGTTCTTCACATAACTAAAAAAATTTCTAACTTGCGATCATTGGTGATGAAAACAGGTGGTGAGTCGATGTTATTGATCAAATCTGAAGGTTAGTAACTGAGCTCCAAATTGACCATGTTTACATCAATTTCAAAGTCTTCACACACCATAACATTTACGTTCTTGAATGTTGAACTTGTGTCCAAAGTAAGTAACCTCCCTCCTTTTTCTTCATTGACAAGAAACTCCCATCCAGTGTATATCAACGATTTTCACAAACCACATGAAGCGTAGATGTGAATCTTCATATTTTAGAGAGACAAGAGAATTAAAGAAGCTTGAAAAGATGAAAAACCCTCACGATGGATTTGGGATTAACAAGAATCGATTAATTTTTTTTTTGAAAGAAAAAAGGAAATTAAAATATTTAAAATATTTACAGAATATTTCATAACCATTTTTGGCTAGATTTTCGGATCTTGTTTAATTTTTTTCTAGAACTTACATTCTACCAGTATAGAAGGTAGACGACGAACTAGGATATGGTATACGACAGTTGTAGATAAAACACACTGTGAAGAATCTAGTTCCAAACGTGGTAGATAAAATTTTACTTCTAAGACTTAGAGTCTCTGGGAACCGAAATTCGCACTGTCAATTTCCGTAAAATAAGGAAACT